TAAATCTTACCAGTAATTAGATTTTAAATCCTCAGCAGAAAGTACCTAGAGTCCTCCACTTATAGAGCAAGGTCTTTTCCCTGACGGTAGAGAGGGAGGTGAAAAATGATCCTGGGTGTTTGGGGTTTTGTTTGTCCATCTCTCTTCCTCCCCCCGCAACTGATGTACATATGGCCAGTCTGGGCTCCGTCATGTCCAGTGCTGGGCACTTTGCAGAATCAGGTCCCCCTCTTTTCCTCTGTAGTGAGTGATGGAAATAACAGTTCTTCATCTACCTTGCAAGCATGATCAGCTGAGAGCACATGGCTTCTTTGCAGCCTTTGAAACAAATAGCTTATCGTGCTCCCCGTATCTTCCTATGCATTCTGAAAAATGACTGGTGCCACGAGGCCTAGCTTAGTCTTAGCTGGAGTTGGTTTGTTGTAGCTTTAATTAAATCTCTTCTTCAATAATCCAGATGTTGCTGATAGCAACCACTGAACTGTGTGTGCTACGGGTGCTGAAATAAGACCAACAGGCCTGCTGATGGGAGTAGGGGGCAAAAGGGGGAACTATCCCAGGACCTGGTGAATCAAAAGGGCCCAGGGTTCCCGGCCGCTGCTACAACATCACCAGCTGTGGCTGGAGCCCCAGGTTCTAAATCGCTGCTGGAGCGCTCTAGGCAGCTCTGAGGACTGTGGGGAGAGGGTCTGGGTGGCCCTGAGCCACCGAGAGTGGGATGCTGGCCTCCCTCATATTGCTCAGGGGCCCAGCTATCCTGTTGGTCCCCCTGAAAACCAACGCGGAGTGGCAGGCAGGCAGTCCATGAGGGGAGCTGGTTTTTAAACTGGCTCCCCTTGCGGAACAAGTCCCGCCTGGTACCCCATGCTGCTGCCTCTGATACCGAGGCAGCAGCGTGTGATGGCAAGGGGCTCCCCAGGGGTGGGGCTGGAGCGCACTGGCTGCCTGTCCAACCTCCGGGGACTATAGAATAGTCGACTAACTGATAAGAATTCGTGAGGCTCATCGACTATTCAATTAACCAATATTTAACATCCCTCGTCTTAAAGCAATTCGTTTGCATAAAAATTGAGCACTATTGTGGCTAGAAGGCAGCAGGACTCTGCATCTTAGAGTGGAAATCTTTACTTACTTGAGAGCACTAGAAAACCGCCCCCTCTTCCCTAAAACAGTTGCACTTGCATGAATAATCCGCAGGCTCACTTCTGTCCAGAACGCCTCTGCTGCAGACCTGCAGGAAAACCAGGAGAAAGGTCATATGCTGCTTAAAGGAACTTGGTGCTCCCCTACAGGGATGCTGCCTGAATGCAGGCGATGCAAGTAAGGATTTGACACTGCTTCCTGGGGAAGGCCAGCATCTTTATTACACAAACTATGCTACATGCTAGCCCCGGATTAGTCTACAACATGAGAGTAAGGGGCGGAATCCCTCATTGTCCATATTGGTCAAAGAAACATGTCTTTAATTGTTGTTGCATGTCCATTGCTTCCCTAGCACTGAAGAAGGCTGATCAGTGGTTAGGGCTTTTCCCTAACACATGGGAGCACAAATCCTTGCTCCATTTCAAACTGGGTCACCTTGGTCAAATGACTTAGCCTCTTTTGTGCCTCAGTTTCCCCCTGGGTAGGGATCACAGTACTTGCTTACATCCCAGGAGGGTTGTGAGGATAAATACACTATTGACTTTGAGGTGCTCAGGCCAGATAAGTACTTTCAGGCTGCCTTTAACAGTTCTGGGAGGTAAATATAGCCATCTCTAAAGCACCATAATTATTTGTGTTAGCAGCCCCTCTCCTGAATTGGAGGCCCTGGAGCTAAGCACGGAAGCCTAACAGATGGCTTTCAAGTGGCTGGCTCCAAAGGCATCCTAACAAGTGGTGAAATGCTGCTCTATAGCCGAGGAGCCCTAGAAATAGATCAGGAGTCCTTTTGTGCTTGGTGCGGTACAGGCTGCTGCAGTCTCTCCACCCCCATATAAATGTATAAGTGACACTCCTGGTGAAGTGAGCCTATGAAAACCTGAATACAGAAGTGGCTTTAGGGCCTCACTGCCTAAGGTTCCCCTCCGACACTCCTTGCGCCCCACCACATCAGCTAATACACCCTATCTAGACTGCTAAAAGCAACTAATAATTAACTTTGGCATAGCAAGGGAGAAAGTGAGGATCTGTGTTCCCTGTAAGCTGGGAACTTTGGCAGCCACCCAAGGTTTCAACAGCCAGCAGCGTGTGTTTATACTGGTGGTGCACATCCACACATGTCTCCGTGCACAGAACAACATTTATTCCTCACACAGATGGGAAAAAAGTTAGAGGTCATGTTGGTGAGGCTCCCAATTTGAGTTCACATGGTTCAAATACAGAGCATATGCTCTCTGAATGCTGGGATGGGGATCCTCTCTAAGGAGCCTTCCCAAAATCCCTGGTCACTCTGACTTGGGGCTGGTTGACACTAAAAAATTGTATCAACTTAACTGCCTCACTCAAGGGCTTGAAAAATCTGCGACCTAGTTAAGCCAATACAAGCCAAATTCTTCCATCGGGGTGGTGGCTTCCATATAGGGTCACATCATGAGACTTTCTTGCTCATCCTGAAGATTTTTCTTGTAAACTTCAGGCATCAATTAAGACTAAAGCAGTAGAGCTTTTGTGAACTGTTCCTAGTCCCCAGTGTCAACTCTGTCCACTTCTATGACTTTGGGGTGAGGTCTGGGTGAAACAGCTGGTCCACAGCTTCAGCCAGGTTCAAACTGCCAGCCTTTTCAAAGGCAGTAAGGTAGGGTTGTCTCCTTTCCTCTTAAACTGGGTCAGCAACTTGGTATTGAGGTACGTAGAGCAGAACCAGGCGTTTCCTTTAGCTGGAACGGGGGTCTGCAAGCTGCCCTGCAGGTCAGGGACAGAAGGAACCCTGAGAGCACAAGCCGGTTACCTGCATGCCCATCAGACAGCCGAAGCAGAGGCAAATCAAACAGATCCCCTGACTGCTGGCTAGTTACATGCTGGAGGGAATTCAGGCAGGCTGTCATTCCCATTACATGCTCCCGGCTGCCTGCCTGTGCCTACGGTGAATCAGTCCGTGTAGCTTATGGTAATTGCTCATCTAACATATTGCAAAGGGAACTGATGCAGTGATACTCACTTCATCCAATGGGGAGCAAACAACTCCCCCCATACAGGCTGCCTCTGGGACTGAGTATTACATCACTTTTGTGCTCAATATGTCATGGCTAATAATCTGTTCCCACCAAATGGGAGTCTTACGGCTCCCGAAGTTCCAGGGAAGGGGGCTTGCATTGGATGCAGGTGACTGGGAGCAGCAGTGTTCTTATTCAGGTCTCCTATGTATATTGGGCTTCTGTTCTCGGACCCAACTAAGGTGCTAATCTTCAACTGCAGTGAGTATGCAGCACTCTGCTACTGTTTCTTAGGCAAGCAAGCCAGAAGAGGCGGGTAGTCCGGGCTTGAGTTTATAATGTGCAGTTTCTGTAAGATCGTATCCTGCTTTTCTTCTCTGTTTTCCCATGTGAATGAGCATGTGCATGCTGTATTTGCTGACACTGCATGTTTTTTAATAGGAACCAGAGATGGTAGGCTGTGCAGACAATCAGGATTTTGATCGGAGAAGAATAGGATGGGTTGCATCTGGACTAGAAAAACAGCATGTCCTGAGTGTCAGGATAACAGTCTTTCCTTGTGTGTGGAAACTGCTCTGTGCAAGAAATTCAGCTTTGTTCAGCTATGCTAGCGCAATGCTTCTTGTCCACGATACGCTTGTTTTAGCTTCTCATAACATCTTAACAATTGCATGTTTGTCTGCTTTTGGGGTGGAGGGAGGGATCTGAAGGAAAACTGCTGCTTACAAACTTCAGAAAGCTGTTAATCTCCTGCATGGCGAAGTCCTTGCATAAGATGCATTGCTAGTATGACAAGTAAAAAGGAATCTTCAGTGTTTAAGATTTTGCAGTAAAATGCTCCCCGGTTGTGGCACTCTTCCTCTTCGAGATATTGGAAGCAGCAGCAAAAAATATATATATTTTTTTTAAATCTTGCACTTCAAAAGTGTGTGTTAATTTAAGAGAGCGGTGTTGGGTCTCCTGGGTTTTATTCCTGGGTCTGTTGCTGACTTACTGTGTCCTAGGCCGAGTCATATAGGCCGTGATCCTGGAAAGACGTCAGCATGGGTGAAGACCAATTTATTTTTATTTTTGTGGAACCCTGCTTCCTTTAGGGGTTTGCTTAGGTCCTGATCTGGCATGGAAATCATTTCATGCTGTGAGCACTGTGCATTTTTGTGCTCCTGCTTTCAAAGGGCCCAACCCAGGGTGCCTTCCTGCTGTCTCTTTTCATGACTGAAAAACACGTACATGTACTTGGAGTGCCAAACTTTAATCTCCTGAACATGGCTCCTTATCTCCAGGGTAAATAAACTCTGGGTCGACAACACATTCCAGATTTTAATAGCGTAGAGAGAGAATGCGTCTGTTCACATGTGTTATGCTCTGCTTTCACAAAGCTAGTGAGGGTAGGGGACTGGACTGGATGATCTCTCGAGGTCTTTTCCATTTCTAGTATTCTATGATTCTAATTTCCATTTCTAGATTCTATGATTCTAATCACATGCTGTTATAGTAGATGAGCTCTTGAGCGTGACTAAGTATAGGGGTGACTTGATTAGCCTCCAAATACCTGCATGGGGAACAAATATTTATTAGCTGGCTCTTCAGCCTATCAGAAAAGGGCCTAAAACAGCCAATATCTAGAAGATGAAACTACACCAACTGAGGCAGGAAATAAGGTGTGTGGTTTTTAATAGCGAGGGTAACGAACCATTGGAACAATTTACCAAGGGTCGTGAGGGATGCTCTAGCATAGGCAATCTTAAAATCTTGAATCTATATGCCCAGTTTCCTCAAATGAATCCTTGCCAGCAGCTGCCCCTGGCTTCCTTCCTAAACCTAGCTGTGCTGGTGGTGTGAGAGTGTTTGTCTTCTCCCCTGCAGGAGGCTGGAGTATCCTTAATCCTTGGGGATGGACCAGCATGTGAATGGAGCCATGGCTGAGAAGTCAAACACTCTGGACTATGGGGTTCAGATCCGATTCATAGATGACCTGAAGGAAACGAAGAAGGCCCAAAAGGCCAGGTCTAAGCATTCCAAGACCAGCTCCTATGGGGTTGCAGTAAGGGTCCAGGGCATTGATGGCCAGCCCTTTGTGGTCCTCAACAGCGGGGAGAAAGGAGAGGACTCCTTTGGGGTGCAGATCAAAAGCGAGACTAAATACGGGAACCCTGCTCGTGGCCAGTGGCCTGAGAAGTTGCCTCCTAATTCCCTCAGGGAAGGCCCGGGCTCCATCAGCTCTGATTCTGACCTGGTGGAAAGCCGGTATGCGTCCAGACAGTCTCAGTATAACTCCCAGTACAGCACCTCTGACGAGGAGCAGAGCTCCAAGCGCTGCCCAAGGGAGCAGACGCCTGTCAGTGGAGAGGCAGCTCGGTCCTCCCGCAGTGATGGCATCTCATCCCCTCAGAGCAGCTACAGGCCATTGCCAGCCCTGAGGCATTTTGGGGAGGAGCTGAGGAGGACTCAGTCTCACAGCTCTCTCTTAAGCCCCAATGCAGAGGAGGTCTATGGCCCAAGCCCTCTCAGCAAGCAGACTGGGGGTGCCTACCGATCGCAGTCTTCAGCCATCATCAAGAGCAGCAGCACACTAGACGTTACAGGCAGAAAAAACACAGACCACAGCCAGGAATCCCGTGCACCTTCCGGAAGAAGGTTTGAAGGCAGGCTGCCATCACCAGACCCAGAGTCCTCTGATCAGCCTGCCAACGAGGCCCAAAGTGACATAGACACAAAGCCCCTGTCCTCAGTGGATTCTCTGATCCCAGCCCCCAGGAGAAGCCGGATCTCCCTGGAGGAGAGGAAACGGTCACAGAGTCTTGATGGGAGGGTGTCTTACCACGACACAGCTGATTCCAGAGAACTGAGCTCTGCCCAGCGCCAGGATCGCTCCAGGGAAAGGCCAAAGGGTCTGGCTGCCAAACAGCCTGGCATGGCCAATGCTTCTTACACCAACAGCCTGAATCGAGTGCGCCAAGAGGATCTGAAGGAAAACTCAGTCAACAAAGCCCCGCTGACACGAGACTGGATCGACGAAAGCTTGAAGGAGCCTCTTGTTGAGCAGCGGCAAAGTAAAGTGCGCTCAGAATTGCAGGTAATGCTTCGTTTGCAGCTCAGTCCCATGTCAGCCACACTTGCTTCATTCTAAGCCCACGAGCCACCATGTGTGGTCGGTGCTCAGGATGGAGCCTTAATTAGCTCTCTGGGCTGGGTGAGGCCTCCATTGCAATTGGCAGCTGTACAGGCAGTCAGGAGAGCCGCAAAGCTGCAGCCGCATGAGCGAGCCCTGCACGGGACCCTGGGGACGGTCAAACCGCCGCTGCGTGTGCGCCGAACCTCGGCTGCTGCGGTGCCAGCTAGTTCTGTGCTGCAGTTGCGGTGTATGTGTGTGCCTCGAGTGACCACATGCAATGCCAGATGCTGCTTGTAGCACTGTGGTTATACGGCCTGAAATTGGTATGCCCCCATCTTCTGCTTCTTCCTACCGCTGGGGAAGAAGCTGCTTCTCCTCCTTCCTAGCTGGCATATTTCCAAGAGCTTTAGGCACTGGAGTTGGATGCTAGGAGGGAAGGTCCCGAGGTGCAATTGACTCTGAAATTCACTAGGCCCTTAAGGGCAGCATGTAGTTACCACATGAACCTAGTTGCATCAAATCCCAGCCACTGTTGCCGGTATACCTGCCACGGCTGTTGTCCCCATTAATGTAGGGAGTGCAGTGACAATGTGGTAAGGGAATGCAATTATTCCTGCGTCTGGGCATAAGCCAAGCGCTCCCTGAAGACGAAACTTACCCTTTGGGCAGGTTATCCCATAACCATCGGGGGCTATGGGCCTATTGGTCTGATCTTGCAAGGCGGCAGCTCCTCCTGCTGTGCAAGGAGCCTCTGGTGAGGTTTGTCTTGTCTCCTTAGCAGCTTAAGTCCACTCCAGACCTTCTGAAAGACCAGCAGGAAGTTTCTCCGCCTGGGAGCAGCGAGTCCACCAAAGAGCTTATCTACAGTATCCTGAAGGATGGGTGAGTGTTGAGCGGAGCGCTCGTGGGTCCAGCATAAGGCAGGATCTTAGCGTTTGTTCTGCAGCTTGCTCCGTTGGAGCACTGGGCACGTCACTGCCCCCAGCGGGGCACGTGTTTGTGCTTACTGCCCTCTCACCAACACAAGTTGGTCCAATAAAAGAGATTCCTTTCCTCACCATGCCTCTTTAGTACCCCGGGACCAACAGGGCTGTAGCAGCACTGCCTAAACCAGGGGTGGGCAATAATTTTTTCCTGGGGACCACTTCAAAAAATTTTTAGTAGTCCCAGGCCACCCAGAAGGGGCAGGGCCTAAACAGGAAGGGGCGGTGCTAGCCCACTCCCATACCATGATTGGTCCGTGGGTGGGAGAACCCTTTTGCCCCCCCTTCTGACTAGGCACCCATACCCTGGAAGAGGTTTGGCATGCTCCCCCACCCCCAGGCCAATCAGGATCTGGAGGGCAGGGAGTGCGGGAAGCCTCCTCCCGCCCTGCAAGGAGCACATGGCACTTGAAGTGCCGTGGACTCCTCACAGGGCCCAGGCAGGGCGAAGGAAGCTTCATGCAGGTCCCCCGCCCCCAGACCTCGATTGGCCTGGGGGTGGGAGAGCAGCAGGGCCTCTGCAGGCTGAATCCTGCCCGCGAAGGCCCTTTTGCCCACCCCGTCCTAAACACGGGCTCTCGCTTCAGTGAAAGATGTTTCTGAAACACAACTAAAGTGCTGCATCCTCTTGGGGTTGGGATCAAGACTGACCAGGTGGGACACGATTGTTCTGGGACCCCGAGCTCTGGGCCCTCCCTCCAAACATCAGTCTACATAAAGTGAAATGGTCAGGAGCGGGACAAACATGACATATCGGGGTCCCCACCTTTCTCGCAATAGAGGGTGGGCGTGTGTTCCTCAAATGAATAGCAGGCAAATGTACCCAAAGCAAGAGCTTAGCAATTGAATCCGTTACACAGCAGCTCAGACTAGCTGATCACAATGTCCCCTTCTGGCTGTCGAATCTGACTCTCGAAGATGTGGCCCCAAATATGGATGCAAATTGGAACGCCGTTCCTTTAAATCCAGCCCTGGAATAGGAGTCTAGCACCCTGGGCTTCTCTGTGTATGCAGAAGAACTTCTGAACTACAGTGTAGCCCCATAAACTAACAATTGTAAGCCTCTTAGCTAAGTGGCAGTGACGCTACAGAGGTGCAAATTGTGTGTGTGCCAGCCTTGGAGCCGACAAAGGGAATTAATTCCTTGCACAGTCACCTTCAGATTTAAACAATCCCTTCAAGATAGATAGCATCTGTTCTCTGGGAAGTCCCCAGCTGGGTGGGAGCACAGGGCAAATAGGCAGCTGATCCGCTGAACTTGATCGCTAAAGGGCTTCTCTATAGGAAAGCTAGTGTTTAAAGACAACCTCTCTTCCTCCTCCTTTGCTGCCTTGCGGACATTTGACGGAAAGACTCACTTTCAGAATTTCACTCCAGTGGCCTCTTATAAAGGGATAAGTCCCTCTTTACTTTCAATTTATACCTTATGGGCCTCATAAACTGGGGGGAGGACGGAATAGAACTTTCCTCTACCTTGCCCCGGATATGCTCCTCTTAGGTATTACCTGCAACCACATTACTAAAATCCAGACAGAAGTGTGTGTCTCTCAAGTTCTTAAGTCCCTTGATATCAAAGAATTTGATCACTTGACAAACCTATTTCATCCCTTCAACGCCCCTGTAAAGCAGTGCAGAACAATTATTCCCCTTGTGCTGCTGGGGAAACTGAGGCATGGAGGGATTAAGTGACTTGCCCATACAGGAAGTCTGCAGCAGAGCAGGGACTCACAACCCTAAGACTCGAGTCATAGGTGAGTGCCCTGTGCATTGCTCTTCTTCCCCTCACTTCTGGTGGTCTGACCTTTTACCCTGAATGACTTGTTTGTATTTGCATGGTTTTCCAGGAGTAAAGAAAGCGAAAGCTCACTGAAGAGAAAAACCAACCTGATGTTTGAGAAGATCCAAGCACTTGCTGTAAGTTGCAGGAACCCTCTGTACCGGCCTCTCCTTGATTTGCAGAGTCCAAGTCCTATGCCACTTCAGTGGCTCCTGGCTTTCAGCGGAAGGGTGAATTTTTCTCCCTGTGTTATCAAGCCAGGGTGGTACTGAGAGGCTATGACGACTGCCCCCTTGTTTGCGTACTTCTGTGCCTCAGCTGGAAGTGTAATTCCCAGCTTGGGGAGAGGTGCACCCACTAGCTGTGCTCAAAGTAGTGCACTCCGAGTTGCAGCATGCCAGGCCGGTGCGGGCACCACGGGAGGCTAACCACCCTCGTACAAGGGGTTGTTCTTAGGGCAGCTTGCCTTGCAGTGGCTGTTTTTCATGCACTAACTCTGTCAAAGCTAGTCTAGGCATGGGCTTACAACTGCAGTGTGGACATTCCTACTGCCTCCCAGTCGCCCTCTTCTCCTAACCCGCGCCAGGATACTGAGTGTCTCCGTTAAGCTAGTTCATCGCAGCGATGCCCATCTGGAGCAGGAAAGGGACTTCCTCTGGGTTCAGCCAGTTGACTTTTAGCCCTTCCTGCAGTTTAGTGCATCCCCCTTTTCTTGGCAGCACTGGTGAAATCTTCATCTCTCTGTAGCAGGGGTGGGAAACTTTTTTTGGATCAGGGGGCCACCGACCCACAGAAAAATCGGGGGGCTCACACAAATGAAAAGCAAAACAACAAAATAAAAAAACCCAACTCACTGATGTGGTCCCTGACTGGAGACACCTCACTCCCCTCACGCTCCAGCCCCATGGTGGGGAGGACCGAGCTTCAGGGCTTCCCACAGGCCAGATGATCTCTTCTGGGGGCCTGGGGCTAGTAGATTTTTGTGGGTCCCTTTAGGTTCAATGGGAGGGAGGGAGGATGCAGGAGCAGGCTGGGAGTTGGGGGTGTGGGGTCTGAACAGGAGGTAGGCTGCAGGCTAGGTCTGGGGGTGTGGGGACTAGAGGGAAAAAGCAGGAGCAGGGTGGGGATGTGCAGTCTGGGTGGAAGGCAGGGTGCAAAGTCTGGGGAGGCAGGGGCTGCATGATGGTGATGGGGGACACTTAACAGCGCAGCTCCCTGGGGACACATGTGGCTTCTGGCAATTGCAGCCAATGGGAGCAGTGGGGAAAAGCCTCCAGCTGAGAGGTTCCCTGCACTGCCATTTCCCCAGCTTGGGGGTAGGGGGAGGACAGTAGCACGCAGAGCAGTTTCCTCTTTTTCCCCCCCTCCCCCTGCCCCGGGCAGGCAGTGCCTGCATGTCCGATCCAGCCCTGGCCTGCCGCAGTCTGGTGCTCAGAGTCCACCCCCAGCCCAGCGGGGAGCCAGCACTGGCACTCCAGCCACACAGGGCTCTCTGCCAGTGCTAGCTCCCCGCTGCAGGAGGGAGGCCAAGCCCTGAGCCTCTAGGGACGGACCCAGGCAAGCCACGGGTCAGGCTGTAGGCTTTTTTTCCCTGACGTGTGGGATGCCCTGCCCCAGGAGCATAGTACACTGTGTCTAGATTTCTGTAAAGAGAGCTGCATGAGTGAGTCTTACGAGTATTAAATATTCATGCCCCCTGCATGTTTGGATAACAAGGTGAATCAGTTCTCCTGTTTGAGGGCTCCCTGTGGCAGGGGGTCAGGAAGGATGTTTTTCTTCCCTCTGCCCCCCACCTTTCCCCATAGGCCGCGTGGTTGGGTGTGTTACAGGCTTTTCACCTTCTGTTAAGCCATCAGCGTGGTCCCAGCTGCAGGTTGGATTCCAGGCTTGACAAGTTGGTGATCTGACAAACACTTTACTGCTCTAGGGCTCAATATTTTTATTCTTTCTGAACTCCCGTTCTTGTTTTAAACCGTGTAAGATTGACGTTTTTGGGGGTGGGATTCTGTGCTGTGTGTTTGGATCAGATTATCCCATTAGCTGGAAAAGGTCACAGTCTTTCCCTTACTCCTGTGGTCCTGGAGTTGGGTTTTTTTTTTAATTATTTTTTTTTAAAAGTCCTTTTCTGCAGGGAGCAGATAGAAAGGACTCTCTTTTAGAATGATCAGTATATGAAAGCTACATGGCTCCCTTTCAGGAATCTGCTCTGATGCTGTCTGTTGGAGATATTAACGGGGAGTGCATTCTTAGTTATATATTTATTTTTTTAAGTATTAAAGGGGCTCTGAACTCATTTTGCCAACTCCACCCTTCTCTCAGCTTGTCTGGCACTGGCTGCTGCACGCTGGGCTCAGAGCTTGCCTGAAATGACAGCATCTTTTATTAAAACTGGCACTTCACAGCCTCCTGCTTGAGGCCCAACATACGCCTGGCAGGAGCAGTGTCTTTTGATGTTGACATCGGAGGGCCGCTTGCCAGTGTTAGGTTAAAACAGAGAATCGCTGCTGAGAATGTGGCCTCCTTTTTTTTTTAATTTTTTTTAACTTATTAACTCAGGGGAAATTTAAAATCTGGCCGGTACTTAGAGCATTGAGGGACCAGAATGACACATGGGAAATGGGGGGTTCCCTACTTTGCTCTGTCACAGTCTGTGGCTGTAACCTTGGGCAAGTCCTTTTGTTGCTGTGTGCCTCAGTTTCCCTCATGTACAGTGGGGATAATAGTATCTGTCCTGTCTTGCGGGGGGATTTGTGAGGATTAATACACTAAGATGGTGAGGCGCCGGCTTTCTGAAGGGATGGAGGGCTGTTAAAAGTACCTACATATAACGACAGGGAGCTCTAGCAATATTATGCAGTCGCTGTGGGGCTAGTGCTGGACAGATGCATGGTCCTTGAAGTTAAGTGCTTGTAATCGACATAGGAAAGAGAAAGGAAGGATCCCTACTTCATTTTGGGGACCTGACTTTGGTACTACTTGACCCCCATCATCACAGTACCCGAGCCCCCCACAGTCTTCAAGGAATTCATCCTCCCAAGACCCAGAAGGTGGGACAGGGCTGTTGTCCCCATTGTACAGGTGGGGAACTGAGGCACTGAGAGATCAAGTGACTTACCAAGAGTCACACAGGTGCTCTGGTGGAGCTAGGACTTGATCCAGCATCCCAGCCCACTGAAGTGTCTTAACCACAATGCTATCCTTCCTCTCCAATAACTGACCTCAGGCAGCATCTCCTGGGTGCTTGTGTTAAAGCGGGGGTTCTGTCTAACAGGCTGTGCCTCCTGAGGATGCAAGGGCATCAGTTTCCCAGAACAGTGAGCTGAAGAGGAAGATGGAGGAGCTGCAGCAGAAACTAGATGAAGAGACAAAGGTAATGGTTGGTTAGAGGCACTGGCCAGCAGCAGAGCTGACAGCCTCCCTGGGTCCCTGGGCAAGATGTGGGTGGGGTGGGGTCTCAGAAGGGGCGGGGCCAAGGGGAGCTGATCCTCAGAGCCACCTGCAGCAGCAGCTGGAGCCCCAGACCCTGGGGCAGTTGCAGCCTTTGCCCCTCTCCTCCCATTGGCGGGCCTGCTGGCCAGGAACCTGCGCTGTGCTGAAAGAGTTGCCACCCTTTGGCTGCAGGGGTTGGGCCTGGGTTCTGTGCTGTTTCCGTATACCCCAGCATGGAGTAGGGGGGAGGGGAGGCTTGGGGAGGAGGCAGGGACTTGGCCAGTGACCCAGCGGTTATGCTGGTCCACTGGCAGTAGGTACTGTGCTGGGCTCACATCTTACTCCTAGACTGAAGTATTTTCTGTAGGGCTGCATCGCTGCTTACCCCTCCCCACTTCTCTGCATGATCCCATCCCCTTTACACCCTCCCCACTTAGGAGCGGCATGCCTAATCCCCTTAGGGCCAGATCCTCTGCTGGTCTAGTCCTGGTGAAGTCAATGGGCTGTGGAGGATCGTGGAATGCCATTCTCTGTAGCTAGCTAGAGGCAGCGTCCCTTGACATCCGAGCCTCCCCTTCTCTTCCGTGGAAGCTAACGCTCCCTTCTCCTGTCCCCCAGCTTCGCCACAAAGCAGAGCAGGCAAGGGAGGCTCCCAGGAGCGGTGCCGCTCGGAACCTGGAGAGCCGGCTGGAGGAGGCGCAGAACGAGTGCCGGCTCCTCAAGGCAGCGTTGGAGAAGAAGATCCAGGAGCTGCAAAGCCGCTTGCAAGAGTAGGAGCCTAATCTTGCATTTGTGGGCTGTGCGGGCCTGGCAGAGCACTAAAGATTCTCACTGTGGTTACTGTGGTCTCTCTTCCCTTAACGAGTCCTCACCTCCCTCCTAGCCCCCTGAGTGAAGTTGTGGGCACCCTGTTTCATAGATGGAGAAACTGAGGCACAGAGAAAGCAGTGCTCTGTATAGCTAGGCCTAACAGCTTTAAGACTGTTAAGGACTTTGTCCTCTCAGCCCCCTCCCTCCCATGGTATAATCCCCATTGTACAGCTGGAGAACCAAGGCACAGGGAAAATGGATTGATTTACCCATGGTCCCCCAGGAAGTCAGTGGCCAAGGTTGGGGTTTGAACACTGGTCTCCTGATTCCCAGCCCAGAACCCTACCCATTAGGCAACCTGGCCTACAGGAGATGATAGTGAGCCAGTGTCTGGGTTAGACGTGCATCTGACAAAGTGGGTCTTTGCCCACGAAAGCTTATGCTCCAATACATCTGTTAGTCTGGAAGGTGCCACAGGACTCCTTGTGGCTTTTGCAGATCCAGACTTACACAGCTACCCCTCCGATACTTGGGTTAGAATTGTAACTGTCTGTGCTGGGCTGAGACCAAGCCTTTCTGTGTCTGGCTTTGAGCAGGCCTGTTCCATCTACTCTAGGCTGACAGAAGTGAAAGCTGCCAGGGATCAGGCAGAGGACAAACTGGGAGACGTGGAAGAGCAACTCATGGGGATGCATGAGGAGCTGGACAGGCTGCGGAAGGCCTCAGGGGATTCTGCTGACAGAGACGAGCTGCTGAAGGTGCTTGATTCCCACCAAGTGATCGCGTGTCGTGGGGCTGGTTCTCACTCAGATTAAATGGATGCAGCTGCTGAAGCCAACAGTGCTGCACTCAGTTACACACTGGGGGAGCTGGCCTGAGTCGTGATTTGAATGACAGGTTGTGCCTCTTGGTTTTGGCACCCTCAGGGCCTGACCAGTCCTGAACCAGGGGAGATCAGTGCCAATCCCTCTGCTGCTGCTGACTGTGGGGCTCTACTCTGACAGCGGCAGAGGGGCCAGCATTGACTGAGTGGAGGGCACTTGAGGGAGGAGGAAGAGGGGCCAGGAACACAGCCCACTTGAGCTCGGAACCTGACTCCAGAGTCCGGCCGCAGGGCTCCGCAGCCATCCTGCTTCTTTCTCCCAGTGCCCTCCTCCCTCCCTGAGCTTGAATGCTGCAAACGAGCTATTTGTGCCACTCCAGAAACTCGGGGGAGGAGTTGCTGAGTACTGAGGCTCCAGCCTGAGAGCACCAACAAGGATGCCAAATGTTGTCAGACAAGGGAAGTCTAGGTTATAGAAGTCCAGCCTGAGTAATCATAGTGGCCTTCACTGCTCTCAATACAGGAAGGCAGTCTCATTATCCCCATTGCACAGATGGGAAAACTGAGGCACAGTGACTTGCCCAAAGTCACCCAGTAGGCCAGTGGCAGAGCAGGTAATGGAACCCAGGTTGCCTGAGTCGCAGACCAATGCTGTATCCACTAGCCAGAAGTGCTTCCCTACAGTGCTTCCAGAATTGTCTAGCGTAGCTTCAGGTGGTGAGTGTTTCTGTTCCTGCCCTCTTCTCAGGAGCTGCTGGAAACCAGAGAGGAGCTGGAGGAGGTCCTGAGTGCTAAACAGAAGCAAGAAGAACATCTGCGCCTGCGGGAGAGGGAGCTGACGGCACTGAAAGGAGCCCTGAAGGAGGAGGTGGCGAATCATGACAAGGAGCTGGAAAGGGTGACGCAGCAGTACCAACACGACATGGACCAGCTGAGGCGAAACATGGAGAATGTGTCTCAGGTAAAGTCACAGGCATGTGAAATGAAAGCATGAGGTGAGCCCATTAGGGGAACTGTGGGGGTCTGTTAAGAAATTAAGGCCTGCTCATTTTATGGACTGAATTTATAAGCCATAGAAAATCATAGCAGTGGTCCGCTTCCTTAAATGCCCTCTCTCCAAGTCTTTTGATTGGTTGCGACCTACACTTCCTGTCCTAAACCATCATGGAAGGGTGCTGTGGCCGTGGGCACTCCATTTCCCGGCTCGATGATCATGAAGCTCTGGGATACAGCGGAAAGTCGCTCTAGTTCTGACTTCAGATGTGATCTCTCCTAAACCGCTTTCTAGCCAGTCCAAAAAGCTGTGAACATGCTCATTTGGGTAAGAACTGGATTTACTTCTGCTCCACAAAGCTGACCAAATTGAGTGTCCGCCCAGCCCTTTTCCACTAAATCAGTTGAAGTCAGCTTAAAAGAAATCACTGCTTAATTTTAAACTGGTGCAACATCTCAGACGATGCCTTGGGTGGTGTGTTCAAAGCACGTAGAGTTCTCCCCCCAGAGAAAAGGGGTACCATACTTAGTTCCCCCCCCTCCCGCTCCCGCTCCCCCGCACTGATCTTCTGGATCTGTTGACCAAGTGCTACAGGTGAGTGTTCAAATCACTTGTTTAAGTGATGGCTGGACTGTGTCCCTCTCTGGGCCTGAATTCTACTGTCTTGTGCTATATTCCATTGGTGGGGCTCCCTAGACTTCAGCTACTCCTGAGTCATCTGCAGTAGCAAAGGACAGAAACTGTTCAGGGTGTGCATTGGAAACCGCCCCGAGAACAAACCAGGCATAACCGTCCCCATCCTGCTTGCAGTAAATGCACCCCGCCCAACAGCTTTGTTCCTGTCTCTAGGACCAAGCCAGTCTGGAGACGGAGAGGCAGAAAATCAACTCGATAGTGAGGAGCCTCCAGAAGGAGCTGGAGGAGAGCAATGAGGAGACTAGCCACTGGAGGGAGATGTTCCAGAAGAACAAAGAGGAGCTGCGTAGCACCAAGCAGGAGTGAGCTCTCGCTGATGCGCTGCGTCTGTCCCACAATTGCAGCTGCAGGATTGTAGCTGTGACTGGGCGTGGTTAACTAAAGCCTCCCAGGGAACCCCAGCTCCCTACACTCACCGTGCCTCAGAGACCCACTGCCAGTTGTCATCTAGTCCCTGCCCCAGTGGCAAACTGCAATCTGTAATGGCCACTCCTCATTGGCCAGGGGGTAGACCTGCTCCCCAGCTCTGCCTGCCTTTCCCCAGCCCTGCTCTGTCTCAGGAAGCCACCAGCTTCCCTGGTAACCAGGTCCCTCCTGCTCCAGCGCTGGAGCAAAAGTTTCCTTTCCTCCACTCCAGGAGCCCTTATTTATGCAGCACCAGCTGGCCCCTGATTGGCTGCTATTTGCCTCATCTGCTGACTCCACAGCACCGGCCCTAAGGGGTTCGGCTGCTCCAATTTATCCAAACTTCTTTCCTGTAAATCCCAGAAAGATAAGTGGCTGTGTGATGGGAGTTGTGCCCTTGCCTGTCTCTGAGGTGTCATTCCAGGGAGGATGGAGGCAGGATCCTTGCCCTGGGCTCCCTAGCAGAAGCCATGATGTGCCTAGTGGATAGGCCTCCAGTTAATGGCATTGCTGGTGCAGAGTCCTGCAAGGAAGTGCATGTGTCATGTCAGGGCATTACCCCAGAGAGGACCCGTAGCCAGGAGTGGCCCAAGGTGGGCTGCAGCAGCTGGCGCCCCAGGCGGAAAGCGCGATCGGCACCCACGCCTGCACGGCTGTCAATGGAGTGACATCATCATCGGGCGCCCCATGACATCATCTTCGGGGGCCCCATTGAAGGCTGTGCCCTAGCCAACCGCCGAGTCGGCCTGTAGTCACGGGCCACCCCTGCCCGTAGCTCAGGCTTGGCAGGCATGCACAGGGCAGCCATTGGAGTTTCAGTGCCCCCCTCCTGGTGACCTTCATAGTCTTGCTTCCCCCAGGATCAGACTCCCCACCCTTCTCCCAGGGGACAATGGGGAGCCCACTTGGCACGTCTCTTCCCGCATGCAGGCTCATGCAGGTGAAACTGGAGCGGGAGGAGTTTGAGGAGGAGCTGCGAGAGCTGCGGGAACGCTTCTCGGCCATGCGGGTGGAAGTGGACCAGGTCCGGAACAGCACCATGGATGCTGGCCAAGCAGAAGCCCTGAAGAAGGTACGATGGGCAGGGTATGGTCAGAAGGAAGTGTGAACAACCGGGATGCCAAAGCCTTTTCAGGCCACTCCGGCAATGTAAATGTGCTTCAAAATGTGCAGAAATAGCTTCCCGAGATGCTCCTGGCATGGGGGCTTTTCTGGCTATTACACCAATGGTGCAACCCCTGGTGTAGAGGGCAGGGTGGGGATGTGTCTGGAACTTACCCCACTTCAGTCTGCTTCCCAGGGTCCAGAGGGTTACGCTCGAGCAAGCCAGGAATCTTTTGGCTATTTTTTTTCCCCCACATAACTTTGCATTTTTGGTGAACTTGACATGGTACAGCTCGAGCAAGCCAGGAAACTTTTGGCTATTTTTTCCCCCCACATAAATTTGCATTTTTGGTGAACTTGACATGGTTCACTGACTCTTGGTGGGGCCGGGGGGGGGGGAAACAGCCTCATTTCACCATTTTCTAAACAAAACTCTTGATCTGAAAAATGTCGAAATGGGACATTTTGAAACAGCTGTTCTGAATGGTAACCTAGCTTATAATAAAAAGGCTTCCCATCTGTTCTCTCTGATTTTTCCATACACGTGCAGAATAAGTTTGTATGTGCACCGAGGCATGTGCAAATGTGCACCACCAGGAGAAACACAAAATCTAGCTTTGGGCACTGTGCTAATTAGCTGGGGGGCATTTGAATTGCCCTGAGCAGCAGCACATATGCACAGCTTACAGGGAACATATCTAAATTAAATGTTTTGATCTGAACTCAAATCACTTGTCTTCAGTTTGTGAAAATTCTTACATTGGACTTCCTGTCCAAAATGGGGACAGAAAATCACTTCCTGCCCAGGGCTAGTTATCACAACTAGGGATGTAAGAGTGTGGCTGTGTAAATGGGTTACCGCTAAGCATGTGCTTATTGGTCACCCAGACTGCTACATGCAGCTCTTGGCCCAACTCCCAGGGAGCCGCCTGCTGCCCTGTGCTGATGCCTCAGAGGCAGGGCCGACTTATCCATTAGGCACAGTGCGTAGGGCCCACAAAAATGTTTTAATTTCTTTTAAAATCAGAAGGGAAAAAAATGAACTTTTAGGGTCGAAGAAATAGTTTTAATTTTTTTCCTCACAGAAAAAAATGCAACTTTTAGAGCCCACGAAAATCTATTAAATTTTGCCTAAAACAGGAAAAAAAAATGTTGAAGTATTTAAAGTTATATCAAAATTATTTATTTATTTATTTTATTTTATGGAAGAAGGGGCCCACGAAGGCAAAAATGCCTAAGGCCCACAAAAGTCATAATGCAGCCCTGCTCAGAGATAGCAGCGCTGGGAGGGGGGGTAGGTGGGAATTGGTACATGCGGGAAGTCGGCATAAAAGCTGGCTTCCACCGCGCATCGGTTCCCAGGGAACTGGCTGCCATCCCGCGTGTAACTGCTGAAATCTTCAGGCGTTACATGGATAATCAATTAAATGCATTTTCACATCCCTAACCAGGTCAGTGGCCTTCACAGGGACTACTGCCATGCTAAGTGCATCAGGCTCTCTGGAAGCCAAGCTCCCTGTTAGGCGTCTGGCTACCTTGTGAGTGCAGCTTGGGCTCCCAGAGCCTGGCATGTGTTGGATGCTCTGTGAAGCCTGTCAGTGACTCTTCTCCCCCTGCAGGAGCTGCATCAGGCCCAGGGGGAGCTGAGGGAGCTGGCTTCGGAGAAGCAGGCCCAGGCTGAGCTGGTCCACCAAAGGGAGCGGGAACTGGCTGCCCTGAAGGGGGCGCTCCAGGAAGAAGTGGCCAGCCACGATGCGGAGGTGGAGCAGCTGAAGCAGCAGTTCCAGAAGAACCTGCAGCAGCTCAAGAAGGACTACGACGAAGCTGCCAAGGCAAGAGCCCAGCTTGGCCCCCTTCCAGCATAGGACCCCCAAGAGTGCCCATCGTTGCATGATTTTGAGCCAGGTGTGCTGAAGGCTGCACAGCTGGCTAACTGGCCCCCGTGGGCAGTGAATAGAGCAGCTTGGGGGTGTGGCCCAGGCCACAGATCTGGGATGCTTTCTGAACAGCTTGCATTGATGCACTCTGCCCCAAGCCCTGCCCCTTGCAGCTGTGATGTCAGCACATCTCTGAGCCCCCACTGCCCCTTCTGTGTGTCTGGCTGCAGTGCCAGCATCTGCTCCGTTTCCCATCCCTGGCCACCTCCCACAGACCCCTTACAGAAATGGCTTCTCTTCATGCGTGGCCACTTCTGGAGGTGCCATCGCAGAATGGGCACCCTCTGTGCAATGAGCTACACCAGGGAGCCGGTTTGCCCACCGCTAGGCAGAAGCCTTTGGAGACCAGCTCCTGTGAGTGCCGGCCTCCCAAGCACCAGTGGAGGGTCCCCTGGGCTTGCGATCTCTGGCCCTGGACACATCGGTGCTTGTTTCTTGCCCGGTGTGCAGGTGAAAGTGGTCATGGAGAGCGAGAAGGAGGCCACGGAGCAGATGAAGAAGGCCGTGGAGTCCACGCTGCGGGAGACGCAGGAGGAGAACGACGACTTGAGGAGGAAGATCCTGGGCCTGGAGATGCAGGTCAAGGAGTACAGGCACTTCTCCGAGAACTGGGAGGGCTCCGAGGCCAGGCTCCGGGAGAAGATCGTCAAGCTGGAGGTACGCAAGGGCCGCAGCACTGCCCCTTCCCTAGCTTCCCGCTCAGAGTAGCCCCTCGAAGGCCCCTTGGTGCCAGGTGCTGCACAGACTCAAAGACAGCCAGTGCCCCGGGCGTGTCTGTGCTAGAAGGTTGGTCGGCTATGCTAGGTTATCTTCCTCTCCACAATAATTGCTGTAGTGGTTCATGTTCGCGCTGCCTTTCTTCTGTGGGTGGTACGTGTCCTCACCAGGATTGCTTTGACCAAGAGAAGAGGAGCAGCGTGGGGGGTGGGGCTGAGGCTACGTCTACACTGCAGCGAAGTCTCAAAATTAGTCTGAGGCAGGCTTCCCTAAAGCCATCTCGAGTTAGAGCCCCAGGAGGAATAACTTAAAATGGCCCTGGTAAGGGGCTATTTGGAAATAGCAGCAACGGAGCATCTACACCCGCCTTATTTTGAAATAGCTATTTCGGAACAGGTGTTATTCCCCCTAGAATGAGGTTTACAGAAGTCGGAATAAGCCGTCCATTATTTTGAAATAATGGAATTGCTGTGTAGACGCTCACATAGGTGTTTCGGAATAACGGCCGTTATTCTGAAATAACTTTGCTTTGTAGACACGCCCTAAGAGTCTTGTCGGCTGCTCTGCTCCTGGTAGGGAGCTGAGAGTTGGGAGTGGGGTGAAGGGCAGCCGGGCTCCCAGCAGGGAGACCTGCACCTGGTGTCTGGCTTGCTGCCCTGTTCCTAATGTGGAGAGCAACCTAAGCCAGGAGTGGAGACCAGGCAGCAGCCTGGCTGGGAGCCAAGAGCTAGCTTTTTCCATAGTGGAGCCGTGACGCTGACCATGACCGCCAATGGCTACAAGTAACACGGCGTCTGCAGGACACGGTCACCTTTATTGCGCCAATGTAAGCCCTACACCGATCGTGGAGGTGGAGCCATTATGTTGATGTATAAGGGCACTTGCATTGGTGGGAGCAAGTTTGTAGTGTGCACACTGACTTAGGTTGACATGAGCTGCCTTATGTCAGCCTAGCGCTGTAGTGTAGACTAACCCTCGTTGAACTTACAGCCCACACAGAGGGGAAGGGACTTGTCCAGGGTCACCCACAGGCCACACATCTCCTGAGCCCCAGCCCAGCGCTCTATCCATTGGACCCTACTTCCCCATCCCCACTGAAATACTCAGATAGCCTTGCCCCTATTTCTGAGAGCTCCTCCCCTCCCAGGCTGATCGCAGACACATGGAGGAGTCCTTGGAAGAGACTGCGGAGCAGGAGCAGGAGCTGCGGATGGCCAAGAGGTCTCTGGAGAGCCGCCTGGAAGAGGCCCAGAGGAGCCTCAGCAGGCTGTCGCAGGAGTACCAGGAGCTGACCGCCTCTCACCAGGAGGAGATAAAGCAGAAGGAGCAGCTGAGGAGGGCGAAGAATGAGCTGGAGGAGCAGAAGCGGCTGCTGGATAAGTCCACAGAGAAGCTGACGAGAGAGGTTTGTGAGGCTCCTCCCTCTCCCAGCTGATGGAGCTCTTAAAGCAGGTGGGGGGGGGGGAAGGAGGAGGGAGGGTGTTGCCCATGGTGGCCCATGGCTGCTTGGCGAGTTACTGCACTGCACTTGGGACATACAGTCTTTGTGCAGCGTGGCCACCTGAGTCCCAAGAAGCTCACACAGGAGAGTGTTTAAATCCCGCCCCGCCCCTCTAGTCTTACACGGGTGGCATTTGCTGCCAGGGAGGGGCAATGCCCGTGCAAAGGGGCTGGAGGATTCTGATATACCCGGCAACCCGCTTGAAAATGGGCCGTGGCTGCCTTGAAAGGTTAATGCTCAGATGCAGGTTTGTAAGCCACTCTGCTCCCTGCCCAGCACGGCGCCTTGCTGGCTGGTGATGGGGAGCGGCCATTTTAGATGCATTGGGCTTGATCCTCTGGGCATCAATTAGTGTTGCCAACCGATTAGCTGGCTACATCCGAGCTGGGCCGTATTGGCCCACAGGGTAGGGAGATGGTCTGAGAAGCCTCTCTTCTCCCTCCTGGGCATTGGGCCTGTCTCATGCCTCCCCCTCCCTCCCTGGGTCCCCCAGTCACCCTCTCACTAGCAAATGGCTTTATTTTGCTCCTGCTCTGTCTGGAAGCCCTCTAACAAAGTCCCCTTTAAAACTTCTCCTCTATAAACCCACTGTGTGTTCCAGACTCACTAGCTGCATGCACAGGGTCTCATCCTGGGATGCCCCAGCCATAGGCACCAACTTTCTGATTTCCCCAGGGGTGCTCAACCCCTGCTCCATCCCAGCCCCTGCTCTGTCCCTTCCCCCAAGGCTCCTCCGCCAGTGTCACAGCTGATCAGTACCTAGTGGGAGGTGATGGGGAGGGAGGAGGAGAAGAGGAGCTGATTGACAGAGCTAGAGGGCTTGGGAGTTGTAGGGTGAACTCTGGTATCCAGGGTGACTCATTCTGCAGCCCTCTGGCTCCCCCAGGCTTGCCAATGAAGTTCCCTGGAGGTGAGCTCTGGTGTTGAAATGACCCTCGCTATAGGTGCTGCGGAAAAATCTAAGCTAGGCTGTTGGGTGACCTGCAAGGACTTTGTCATGTGGCCCAGCGGGGTGAGCCAGCTGCATTTAATAGTCGTTTCTGTGCACTAAACCTCTGCTTGGAGTTCAGCTTTTGCAAGTCTTCATCGGCCGTGAGCGCCATTCCTAGCAGATTCAGCTCTGTCCTACAAACCAAGTGTCTGGGGGTAGAAAGGGAGAAGTCCAGCCCACTGCCCAGTAATGCCAGGGACACCCTCTTACTTCCCCCTCTTCCTCTTCATGGTGGTGCTAAACCTACTAGAGCTCCCTTCCCTCCACTCCCGTTGAAGTTTAGCTGGGGTCCCCCGTGTGGCCCCAGTGGCATCGTTGATCCCTATGTGGCCCGGGGGAGATGCTTGGTCGTGGGCACTAACTGTACTCCATCCCCTCTCTTCTAGCTGGACCAGATGTCCCAGGCGTCCCACAGCTCGCTGGCCACGCTGCAGTCACAGCTGGAGGAGTACAAGGAGAGATCCCGCAAGGAGATCACTGATTCCCAGAAGCAGGCTAAGGACCGCACCGCGGAGCTGGAGAAGATGCAGTTTGCCATGGGCCGGCTGCAGGACGAGGTAGGCCGCTGGCGCTCGTGGGGTTGCCTGGCTTGCTGCCTGCCAGGGGCTGTCTTTGCAGAGGGCATCTACAGTGTGTGTGCCAGGAATCATTAGAGCTGAGAAGATGCTGACGTTCCTCATCCCCTTTCAAATTACCCAGTATCCTGTCTCTTCCCTGCCTCAGGCCAACTTCCTGCCCCAGCTCTGGAAGTGTAGCCCTGTTAGAACTCTAACTCTAGGCAGCACAAGAGCCTCCTTGTTCCCAATTCCAGCAGAAGAAGCTGCGTTCGTGCATCTACCCGGGACCGGCCGCGTTCTGTCCATGAAGTCAGCTGTGCTGAAGGGCAGCACCAGGGCTGCGTCACCAGCAATCACCGATGAGAGCTGCTCAGTAGCCACATTAAGGGTTGAGCATCTGTATCGGCAAGTGCTAGCAGGCACCCAGTCGCAGTGGGGGTGGCCCTGCCCCCGGGCGCCCAGTGCCCCCTACGATGGGGTGCTCCGGGCAGTAGCTCGGTCAGCCTGTAGCTTGGGCCGGCTCTGGAGAGGCCCTGCAGTCAGAACTTCGTGATTCTGTTGTGCAAGCCAGGAAGGAATCTGCCTTCTTGCATCGCTGGACAGAGCTGCCGGGGCTTGATTGAAAACTGAGCCTGTCCCCGTAGAGCTGGGCTGGCCCTCCAGGGCTAAGAGGAGTGACAGGTAGTGGGGTCTCCCGCTTAGCTCGGGCAGGCAGCTGCTCCCCTCTGACTGGAAGCACAGACTGGGCAGATCAAAGCTGGAGTGATTCTCTCCTTCCAAGTCAGGGGTCTCCAACCTTTTTGAGCACAAGATCACTTTTTGAATTTAGGTGCAATCCAAGATCAACCTCAAATATAAATACCCTTGCCCCTTCTCCAAGGCCCCACCCCTGCTCACTCCATCCTCCCTCGCTCGCCCGTCTTCCCTCACTCCCACCAGGCTGGGGCAGAGGGTTGGGGTGCAGGCTCTGGTCTTGGGTTAAGGGATCTGGAGTGTGAGAGGGGCTCTGAGCTGCTCTTGGGGCCGGCAGTTGGGATGTAGGAGGGGGTTCTAGATGCAGGCTCTGAGATGGCGTTTTGATGAAGGGGGGCTCGGGGCTAGGACAAGGGCTTAGAGAGCAGGAGGGGGTTCATGACTAGGGTAGGAGTTTGGGATGTGGCCTCCAGCTGGGCACTGCTGGTGGCTCCTGGTTGGTAGTGCAGTGGGGCTAACGCAGGCTCCCCCCGGCCCTGGCCCGCTCAGTAAAGCAGCCAACAAACTCCTTCCCGAGTCCCGTTGTGCTCCCTCTCTGCTTTGTGGAGAAAGGATACAGAGTGGAAGAGGGGGCACCTTGACATCAGCGTCCCTCCCTCCCCTGCCTTGCCCTGCACAGAAAGCAGGAGGCTCCCCGGGACAGCTCCAAAAGAAATGGGCAAGAGATGAGCAGCAGTGGGGAGAGGCAGCTGAAGTGCCGGCACTAGATAGCCTCTTGGCCAAACCAGTCAAGATCACCTGTTAGAGGCTCCAAGATCTACCAGTAGATCCCGATCGACTGGTTGGTGACCACTGCTCCAAGTGAAGCTGCAGTGTCTTGGCCTGCCTGAGACCAGACGTGTCTGAAGTGCTGCCTGTGGAACCCAGGAGATCAGTGCTGGGCCACAGCACCTGTGGGTGGAGCGGGGCTGTGTGTTGGCAGGGCGGCAGAGCTCTGCCCAGCTGTTCCAGTCCAGCTGCCGAGAGACCTCTGCGCAAAGAGGGAAGCTCTGTTGTGGCCCAGCTCTGTGTCAGCATCATCCCTCCTGGCAGGGCCTAGGCATCTTGGCAGGCTGCAGTGCAAGGTGCATGCCCCTCCTTGACCCATGTCGGGGTGGTTTGTTTTGTTTTCTTTTGAGCCCAGAGCCATTCCCACCCCGCCCCTGCATGCTGGCTGCTATGCAGAGAGCCACTTGCTACCTGAAGTATGTAGCTTGCTCGAGCCTGGCCCCTCCTATCACCCTGATGACAGAGCTCGATGTTCTCCGCTGTGGCTTCCTCATCCTGCAGAGAGCACATCCCTGGTACTAGGCCTGGGTGACCAGATGTGTCCTTAGACCAGAGCCTGATTGCGGGAGTGGAGGAGGTTCTGCTCTCACTGCACCATGCAGCAGTGGGTCCTCCAGCAGGCCTGTATGCAGGGGTGTGTGTGCAAAGGAGACGAAAGCACCCCCTCCATTGTCCCTCAAGTAAGCATGCTCTGCCCAGCCAGGGGAAGGCAGGAACAACACGCTGCCCAAGCCTCCCTCTCCCATGCTCTGGCCAGCCAGGGAAAGTCTGGGGCTGATTTCTCCACTCACCGTGGGAGGTGCATTCACACCCTTGCAGTCCACTTTTACAAACAAACCACCCCCCACAGAAATTCCTGCATACAGGCCTGTCCAGCCAAAGCAGGTTGGCTGAGGCTGTCTGCAGGGCTAGTGCACTCTGCAAGCGTCAGCTAGACCAGAGACCACTAGGCGGGTCTTTCCAGGGTTTGCAAATACAGGGCCGACGACAGACCCTAGGGGTGTGGATCTGCCCTCCCCTTGGAAGGAGTGGGGCCTTGGGCAGAAAGTTAGGCGGGTCTTTCCAGGGTTAGCAAATACAGGGCCGACGACAGACTTTGCCAGACCCTAGGGGCGTGGATCTGCCCTCCCCTCGGAAGGAGTGGGGCCTTGGGCAGAAAGTGTGGGGCTGGGGCTAGACCCCCGTCAGCAGCTTTGGGCATGTGCCTCTTCTGCATTACACTGGTCCTACCAGGCCCAGTCTATGCTTCTTTCTCCTATCCCATGATTTTCTGCTGCTGCACCAGTGAGCCAGCTTGCATGGTCACTAGGGAGACCTGCAGCTTCCTGCGTTCTCAGGGGGGAATGCGGGGTAGCACGGTAGCTCTGTGACTCCCTCTCTCCCTGCAGATCACACGCCTGAAGCAAGCCCTGCAGGACAGTCAGGCCGAGCGGGAGGGCGCCGTGCTGGATAAGGAAGTGCTGGCCCAGCGCCTGCAGAACCTGGAGCAGGAGATGGAGTCCAAGAAACGCTCCCAGGACGATCGCTCTCGTCAGGTCAAAGCGCTGGAGGTTCGTTTCCTCTCCTTGTCCCTTGGGCTGCTTTGAACTTGGGGAGGCAGAGGGAGCTCACTGGAATGCAAGAATTCAAGTGCTGGAAGGGTGAGGGTCCCCCGCTTCCCCGGGGAGACAGCTTCAGTCAGCGGTTGAGGGAGCTCATCCTCGTTCTTCCTTGGAAGAGACTTTATGAGCAAGTCCCCCCATCTCCGCTGGCCTTGCGGCAGTCCTGTCTGTGCTGTGTTTCCCCCCCAATGTCTCAGCAGCACTTCTGCGACCAAACAGTGAAACTGCAACTGGCTCCTTTAGCACGGCACAAAACAATGCCACACCCCCTTCCCGGGGCCCCGGCCACACCCTGGCAACTAGACTGGTACTAGCGCAGCCTCTCATGCTTACACCATTCCTGGGGTTTACCCCATTACAGGCCCATAGTCTCATCCATGACTGTGTAGTGGGTGGAGGCCGCATCTCCAGGTCTGACTGTGTTCTTTGGAGTCCAAGCTTCTGGACTGGCTGGTTTTGCTGCCCCAGTTGTGCAGGTGCTGGTCAAAGGGTTCTCCCCAAGAGCACCTGTAAGCACATGGTCAGCTCTGCCCTCCAGCACACGCAGACAGCAGGCCAGTCAACACTGCCATAGTAACTTCTGCAATCAATAGATCGGAAAGATCCTTGGCATTCAACCCTGATTGCAACCATTTTCTTTAAAGGCCAAACTCTGACACTTGGGGGGGTCCTTTTGTGGCATAACCCTGCCCCTCTCCCCATAGTGCTCATGAAACCATGAAAGTTAGCAGAGCCCAGATCTTCCCCTGTTTTTTCAGAAGGACTCTTTCAGCTCCCCGTCCTAGGCTTTGGGGCTCAGGATAGGCATTCAAGAACAAGAATCAAACTTTCATGCAGCAGCCATGGACTTCAGGCTATTAAAGGCAAGGAGCAAATATATCTGCTGTTATGGAATTTTAAAAGCAACCAAGTAAGTTTAAGAGTAGCCAGCTGGCCCATCTTTGTAAGGGCAAGACAAAGTCGGCATGGAGCCAGACACTGGCAGATGCCTGGCTAGAAAAGATGAGGAGGAAGAAGTGAGAGTTTACCCCAATGTTTTGACCATGCCTTACAGCAAGTACAACAGGCACTCAATCCAGGAGAGCATTTGCTGCCAGTCTGTGGCACAACCTGTGAGCTACAAAGCCTGCCTCGAACAGTAGAGGGCAGAATTGTCTTCAGAGTCTCCCATTCACTTGGAAATAGGACCTTTTGTAACTTTCTTGAATTGCCAAGTAGCTGACTTAGTTTCCGCTCTTTCAAGCATTGCAGCACAATTGCTCATGGCAGAGAATTGTTCTGTTTCCAGGGCTCTTTATTTGCGGATTTATAAAGCCGCTATTTTGATCTGAATGCCAACAGCAGCTTGGGATTCTTTGGGCAGGTCTGTAGTGACCTGCAACCAGCCTTACGGTAAAACTTAAATTCCTTTGGATCAAATTCAAGTTCTCAGTCGCCAGTAAGAAGCTCCCAGGCAGATCCAAACCAAACCAATCTCTTGAAAAATCAAATGGCTTTTTCCAATATGCAATAGAGCAGAAACAGAAGAACTTTAGCACCTGCCTCAGACACGGTAGCTAGAGATCATGGATTTCCAAGCCACGTTTGAGCTTGGCTTCTGGAAAGGCTTCAAATGTCCAAGTAAACTATAGAGTTTGAAGCCAGCTTCATGGTAGTGAGACTTCATCAGGGATCAAACTTTTATTTCCAAGCACGGTTCAAATCCCAAAGCAGACCGACCCTAAGGCTGCTTAAGTGACTTTATGCTGCAGTCTGCATTGAAATCCCCATTGCACTGCAGCACAGTGAGCCTGTTAAAGCACTGGAGGAGAAAAGATCCCTGCCCCAAAAGAAGGGATTTCTCAAGGGGAATCTATCTTCAGATTGGCTAACAAGTGTCTCCCTTTGGAGAAAGACCGAGGAGTCCTGTGGCACCTTAAAGACGAAGGAATTTATTTGGACATCAGCTTTCATGTATCAAAATCACTTCTTCTGGCACATGGAGATGCCTCGGGTAGAACAAGGTGGTTTTGACCCACGAAAGCTGATGCCCAAATAAACTCCTTCATCTTTAAGGTGCCACAGGACTCCTTGTGTTTACAGATACAGACTAACACGCTACCCCTCTGAGACTTCCCTTCAGAGAATGGAAATTGACAGTGCTGGAGGCCAAGGACTAGATCCTGTCTGGCCTTGGAGAATAAATAGTTTTCCAACTCTGAAGCCCTTTTTCCGTCTTGCCTGGGCTGTTGGAGTCCTTAGAAAGTTGCAGCTCTGAGGAAGCACTTAATGGCCAGGATGAGCATTTACCCATGAACAGTGGTAAATGTTCATGGCTGTCCATCAAAATTAAAATGGCCACAGATCTCTGGTTGCCTGCCTTAAGGTATCCTTGCTCAGCACCTCTGGAAAGTGCGAGGCCAGCCAATGGTGTCTCCTGTTGAATACCTGGGCCCGAGTACCCAATTTTGTCGATCTCATTTTTGGAGTAGAGTCATGGCATCCAGCCAAGCTCTCCCCCTGAATTCCAGTCAAGCTCAGATCCTTACTCCAGCACTCCCTGGTCATGTCTATGCTATGCAGAAGATCAACGCTGCTGCGGTCGATCTTCCGGGGTTTGATTTGGCATGTCTAGTGAAGACCTGCTAAATCGAACTCCGAGGATTCTCCCATTGGTGCCGGTACTCCTACTCTTTGGGAAGCTGCTGAGAGCATTTGCTCCTGTAGACTTCCTGCTGCGTGGACAGCAATTTAAGATACACAACTTCACCTACGTAGTTAACGTAGATGGGGTCGACTTACCTTAAGTCAACCTTCCACTCTAATGTAGGCTAGGCCGCAGGGTTAACTGCCAAGCTTCATCACTTCTGACCAGCCTGTTGTCTTTGGGTGCAGCAGCCCATAGGTCCTGGGGATTGCCTTGTGCCTGATCCAAGGTCGGAGTGGGGGCATTAAGCTCCCCTAAAACAGCCCTCCCCAGACTCCAAAGCTGGAATAACATTGGCTCTGCTCACAGGACAAATCCAAGCGTCTCGAGGTAGAGCTGGACGAGGAGAGGAACACGGTGGAGCTGTTGACTGATCGGGTTAACCGTAGCAGAGACCAGGTAGGAGAGTCGTGCTGCAAAACGAAGGATTTGAAAACCATACTAGAGCCTAGCTTCATCCAGTGAGTTAACAGAGACCTGCTGGGATGCGGGGAGAAACAGGAGGAAGGGACACAGAGGCCCTTCCATGGGTGGGGGGAGACTGAGGGCCATCCGGTACTGGGGGAGGGGGACAAAAAGGAAGCTGAAGGTGGTGGTAGGATGCAAGGAGCCCTTGGAGTGTACAATAAGCTTGGCTGACAGAAGCTATGAAGTCCCACTAGTCAAAGTGCCCTGCCTTGCAAGTTCGCTGGACCGGGGCCATGTCTCGTTGGTCTGTGTCTGTACAGCACCTAGCATAGCAGGGCGCCTTGGAGATGGAAAACTGAGGCCCGGAAATAGGGACTTTCCCAGGAGCCCTGGTGCTCCAGCAACCAGACAGCGCTCTGTGAGGCTGGTCCTCCTTTCTAACAGGTCAGCATTGCTTTCCAGGCTTGAATCTTACGCTGCACGAAGCCTTCCGGGGGCAGAGAGCAGCCCTTAGCCTGGCTGATTTAACATGACTACATCCTGGATGCGCTCGGCAGCTGACAGACTTGTCCATGGAGCAGGGGCATAGCTATCTGGCTCTTGGCTCTCTTCTAGTCGCAGTCCTGTTCTGACACAAGGAGCTAGTGGCTAGGACACTAGCATCAGGGGTCTGGATCCTTTTTCCTGGCTCCATGACTGAATCCACTGTCCAGACCTGAGCGAATCCCTTATCCTGCCTGTTTACCTTAGCTTCTCCATCTGCAAAACTGGTAGGGGGTGGGGTATCACTGTCTAAACTGTATTTCATCCTCCCAAGCAACCTCTGACCAGGAGCTACTGCCACTAGGTTATTCCTAGAAATAATTGCTCTGAGCTAACTTCTTTTCTGCTCTCTTCACCCCCTTCCCTCTTTTTGCCAAATTGACAAATATAGCAACAATTTAGGGCAAATAATCCCCACTCTTACGGGGCTCCCTGCTTCACCGTGTTGCTAGAGCTGACTGTTGGGTTTTGACAGTGATCCTCTGAGCACAGTCTCTGTTGTTTTCTGTCTGGCGAGCTTAGCATCTCCTCCTAGTGTGCTGGAAACCTCTTTTGCACCTTGAATCCCTGTAGCAACAGAGTCCTCTAGCGTGTATAAAAGGTAGGAGGATGGAGACGCATCTCATTAGAAGAGCCAGCTGCCAGCAGATGCTGTTCCTCTGCATTTTGCAAACTGCTCTGCTACTGACCTAAGCCATTGCAATTATCCTGCTTGAATTATGGGTTCCTGATGTTGGGGCTGTCCCTAGCGGGGGTCTAGGGCAACCTGCCACCCTGCCTCTGTTCCACTGCTTCCCGCCTCTTCTTGCCCCTGCTCAGCCCCCAGGGGATTGCCATGAGTGGGGGTGGGCCCTTGGTGCAGGTGCAGGGAGGCAACTGCCTCAGCCTGGACCATCCCATCATCCATATATCAGCTGCAATGGGTTCCTGATGTTGGGGCTGTCCCTAGCGGGGGTCTAGGGCAACCTGCCACCCTGCCTCTGTTCCACTGCTTCCCGCCTCTTCTTGCCCCTGCTCAGCCCCCAGGGGATTGCCATGAGTGGGGGTGGGCCCTTGGTGCAGGTGCAGGGAGGCAACTGCCTCAGCCTGGACCATCCCATCATCCATATATCAGCTGCAGGCCCCCTCTATCACCCATCTCCCAGCAGAGCATCCTGGCCACAGTTCAGAGAAACCAAGTGCAGTGGGCTAGGAGATGGATGGCAGAGTGGAGCAGGCTGCTACATCGCTCTGGCTCCCACCACCATGAATGGTGTGACCCCCCCCCCCCCCTGCTGCCATGGGGTCCCTAAAGCAAGGGGCCTAGAATGGATGCCCCGAATGTTCATGGACGGGATATCTCTACCTGATGCACCTCCTTTCTCTTGTGTCCTCCTCATAGCTCTCGTCTCTGTGCTGCTGTTTTCTGAATCTAAATTGCATAACCCTCTTGATCCTGACCGTGTGTTTTGAATTGCAAGTGTGACTATTGTAGTGGCACAGAGAGAACCGGTTACATACAGGTGGAATGGCTCTCTTGGGTCTTGAATTCTCTGAACAGGATTCTCCTCCTCTTTGTCTGTGGCTTATGGATAAGGCTGTGAGTCTGTCACTGAGGTCACAGAATCAGTCGCAGTTCTGGACCTCTGAGTTCTGAGTGGGCAATGTGGCCAAGTCCACCACCAGCTGCACCTGTTGCTGCTGCTGGAGCAGCCCCGAGGCCAGCTGCTTGGCTGCTCCTCCCTTCTTCCCCACCCCTGGACCAGCCAGCCCTTGTCACTGAATGGGCACGCCCAGAACAGCAGCTGGCTCTGCCCACTGCTTAGTCTCCAGAACCACAGCAGCTGCACCCCAGTTCAGGTATTTTTAGTAGCAGCCATGGACAGGCATGGGGCTGTCATTTTTTGTTTACTGCCCCCACCTCTCAGTGGCTTATTAAAAATGTTCATAACTAAATCTTAGCCTTACTTATTAATTCTTATTGGAACCAGACCTGGCAGTGCTGTGAAGGGTATTCTGATTGGAATATAGACTAGAACTGGAAGGGACCTAGAGAGATCATCAAGTCTTGATTCACAGCAGAATCAAGCACCATCTTAATCTCCGACAGGTGTCTGTCCAACCTGCTCTCAAATATCTCCAGTGATGGAGATTCCACAATCTCCCTAGGCAGTTTAATCCAGTGTTTAACCATTGTGACAGCAACTTTTTTGTAATGTCCAACCTAAACCTCCCTTGCTGCAGTTTAAGCCCATTGCTTCTTGTCCTATCCTCAGAGACCCAGGAGAACATTTTTTCTCCCTCCTCCTTGTAAAACTCTTATTTGTTGAATGCAGTCTATACTTTGTCTGTTCCCTTAGTTTCTGAATGCCACCTATCCGCCCCGTCCAGCTATTCTAACTCACTTAGCCATCAGCAGTCTATGGAGAAGCTGCAAAAAACAACTGCTCCCCTCCCCCAACCAATATTTGAAGACAGGTTCCACCACAGTGTACTCTCCTGGCAGCCAAAGTTTTTTCAGACTCATAATAGTTATTGAATGGTCATAAATTTTCCATTACGTGCAATTTACATCAAGACTTGGACATCCCTTTCTCAAAGATCTGCTCTTGCTCAGACACAGATCATGCACTCGGTGCAAAAATTGAGTGAGGTTCTCTGGCCATCGTTCATGTACGATGTCAGGCTAGATCAGAACGGTCCCTTTTGACTTTAAAATATACTTGGAAGGCAATAAGCACTCAGAAGTCAGAGCTTTGTGTTTTCAGACTTGGGAAGTGAGGCACAAAAATAATTATATCTGGATTTCAAGAGCTTCAGGGCAGGGACACTTTTTTTTTCTTCTGTGTTCGTACAGCGCCTAACGCCATGGGACCTTGGGCCCCTAATTAGGGGTCCTAATCATGACTGCAGTTCAAATAATAAAATTAGTGATTCTTATGGCTGCATCTGATTCCTCTTGCCTCCAGGGGTCCCAGTCCAGCAAGTTAAACTGAACTTCTTCTCTGTTAAAGCTGACACAATGAGGTGGGCACGGCCACATCCATCAGTAGGTGCAGAGACGATTCATAAGCAAAAGGTGCCAGAAGTGCACTGCTGATCACGGATGTCTTAAGAAAATCTCTGTTCACTCTGTAGCAGCAAGAACATCACTTCTCCAGCCAGGCCTTATGGGGGTGTGACCCTGCTGTTGGGACAGACTTGTGCTAGTGGAGCACAGCCACTGCGCTTGGAGTAGCAGTGCGTGGCTCTTGGCAGAGGTTCGGGCCAGCTATCCGAGCTCCGATCCAGGGGCTCGAGTGTCCACGGCGATCTCACCGTTGTTTGTAGAGTGCCAATGGGAGTCGGAACCTCCCAGCTGCCGTGCAGATGTTCCCGCTGCGGTCTTGACTAGTGTCAGTTAAAATGCCCCTCGGTTCTGCTTCCCAGACTGATCTGCACCCACCCCTGCCTGGCAAAGGGAAGGGTGTTTTTAGCAGGGGGCTGACAGCGTGTCTAGCCCCTGACCTAGGCTGATGTTAAGAAAATCAAAAGGCTCTATCTGGCTGCTGAGTAAACAATGATCTAATCTTGCTGGGGATGAAAGGTGCTGCTGCCTCTTCGCAGTGTCTCCTGTGCAATTAACCAGCATCAGAGACTCTGCCAAGCCATGATCTCAAACAGGGCTGCGCCCTGCTGCATATGCTTCTCTTCCAGGGCCCTGGGTGATCACGTTGTCTCGTTCACTGAACCCAGCTGCTGCAGTAGAGGAGCAGCATGCGCAGGTGTGTGCTCACACCAGCCATGGGCCATGAACTGTTCTCAGCAGCTGTCCCCCTTTTAGTGCTACTTCATGTCGGGCCTGCAGCCTGCCAAAGATGCATCCCCTTGGGAACAGCCCTGGAACGCTGAGATTGCCTTACGTTATCTCCAGATTCCCAACAAGGCTCAGATGAAGGCCTAGCATTTAGCAGAGGCATAATCAGGGATTTGGGATGGGGGTTTGGTGTCTTCCTTGTCCTGGCCTACTGGCTGATCTAGAACAACCATGAGCAGTAGGCTAGGCCAGGCTTCTAGAAACGGTTTGTTTGTCCTGACTGCTCAGACCGAACTCTATTCTAGGTGCTGTATGAAAGCCGCCCCTACTCCTAGCTGTGGCCCCCAGGCTGTTGCAGGGAGAACCGGACTCTCTCTTTGCACAATGGCTTTCAGCACCCACTGCACCCCCATTGATGTAATGGGATAACACTGCCTGTTGTGCCACATTTTATGGGCCAGTCCGTTCCACTCCAGGCTGCCACTGATGTGACTTCATTGATCACCGAGGGCATGTGCTGACTGGCGGGTTAGGCCCTAATGACTTTGGTTCTCCCAAAATGCTAATTGTGCCCAGCATCTGTTGGCTTTGGGAACACATGGCCCCTCTTGGAAGACAGGCTACAGATGGGGAAACTGAGGCATGGTGGGGAAGGGACTCGGGACGTGTAATAGTCAAGATTAGAATGCAGGAGTTCTTGACTTCCTCCCCCTCGGCCCTCTGGATGTATCCAGGAAACCTCCATCTGCCAGGGAGAGAAATGCCACTGGCTGAGAGAAGGTAACCCCTAAACAAAACCAATCTTTCTTCCTCCAGATTGACCAGCTGCGCGCAGAGCTGCTACAGGAGCGCTCCAGCCGGCAGGACTTGGAGTGTGACAAGGTCTCCCTGGAGAGGCAGGTAAGGCTGTGGCCAGACGCAGGATTCAGGCATCTCTTTCAGCGCCGGCAGCCTGTGCTGCTGCACAGCTCTGGCTCTCCGGCTGCGTGCGTGGGTAGCCGAAGGCTGCGCTTGTGGCCTCTTGCAAATGCAGAGACCTCGAGGGTTGCCGGTCTGCCTCTGCCTCCCAAGTCACTAGGCTAGAAAGTGCATTTAATCCAGAAGGCCCTTGTAACTCATTCGATCGTCTTCCTCTGATCCTGGAAAAGCTTCCTGATAGAGAGCTTTCTGGCCATGGAAGGGTCCTCAGAGGAGAAGGGTGAAAGGTCCCCCTTGGCTTGGGAGTTTTAAAACTAGATTGGAGAGAATGCTGCAGACTGTCTCCCCCTCCACCCCCATGGGGAGAGGTGGGGATTGGTGTCCCCTGGAGCAATAGGTCTGTCCCATTTCTACTGCCCACAATGTGATAGTGTTTGCCTTGGGGCTTCAGGCTACTGCAGCAGCAATCAGTCCTGGGCCCTTTAAATCATCACTGGAGCATCAAGCTATGTGCTCTGGGCAGTACTAAGGGTGGCGGGGGGGGGCTGGCGATGTGGTACGCTCCGGGTGGTGCGCAGGGCTGGCTGCCCCAGCCCCACCCCTTCCGACTGATGTCCTGCTCCTTCTGGGAGTATGGAGCCAGCTCCCCACACTTTGTTCAGGGGCCCCACGGAGGCTGTTGGTGCCCCAGTCTTGGATTAGTCTATGCTGGTTTGTCTTTATCAATAAATATCCTCCCACCTCTTCTACACTCTTGTGGTTTCTGCTATGCTGCCCCTGCCCTCTCTCATCATTCATAAAGCTGTCCCCTCTTGTTAGCCTCCTCAAAACCTGCCTCTGCAGTGACAGCTGCCGAAGAGTTCCTGTCTGGCTCTGGCTCTGGCTAGACAAGCCAGGACTCCTGCTACATTCTGCTTCTTGTGGTGTTTCACCCTTCCCTGGCCGCCTAAGACTTGGGGGTCAGGGTGGACATGAGCTCCCTCGGTGTGATGCTGTTGCCAAAGGGTAACGCAGCCCAGGGAGGTCGTGTAAATATGGGAATCTTTGGTAAGAGCAGGGAGATTATTTTACCTCTGTATTTGGAACTGGTGCGACTCCTGCTGGAATTCTGTGTCCAGTTCTGGTGCTCGCAGCTCAAAAAGGAGGTTGATAAATTGGAGCGGGAATTGAGAGAAGAGCCGCACAAGCAATTAAAGTATTAGAAAACCAGCCTGACAGCGATAGACTCCAAGAGCTCAATTAACGTAACTCAACAAACAGAAGATTAAGGGGTAACTAGTCTCAGCATCCACCTGGAGAACAAATATTTAATAATGGGCCCTTCTATCTAGCAGATCTATCTTCTAACACCATTCAACAGCTGGAAGTTGGAGAGACATATTCAGTCTGGAAATAAGGTGTAAATTGTTAATGGTGGGTTGCAGGGAGGTGGTGGTAATTGACCACTGGGACAGTTTACCAATGGTCATGGTGGATTCGCCATCACTGACCACTTTTTAAATGGAGATTGGATGTTCATGTAAAAGATCTGCTCTGGGAATTACTTTGGGACAGTTCTCAGGCCTGGCTTACCCATCACAATGGTCCCTTCTAGCCTTGCGATCGGTGACCCTGCTGTGTTCCCAACTATTCTGTGCAAAAAAGAGTCTGTGTGTCGCCAGAGATGGCACAGCCCACTGCTCTGTCGGGCCCTGTTGGTGTCTCGGGAGGGTTCAGGAACATGAACAGCAAAATGCTGCAAATGGCGGAAGTGTTTAACCTCCTCTTGAAGCAGGGACAGGGGTGAAGAGCTTCAAGATTTTTTTTCTGGTGGCATCACCGCACCTCCTGTTGCTGGTTGTGCGGCCCCTCCAGCAGTGTTCCAAATGCAGCTAGGATAATTAGGGGTCTCTTCCCCAATTTGCACACTTAATATTCAGTTTATTGCACACGCCCCTCTCAGGGCCCCAGGCACGTTGCACCTTGTTCAAGGATCTCTTAATGGATGTGATTTTTCTAATCCTGTGGCACTCCCATAAACCTCTCCCTGCCTGCAGGGCAGTGAGGCTAGCAGTGTGCCTGCGGAGGCTGAGAACCGTGGGCTTAGCCTCGTTCTTAAAGGGAATCGCTAGGCAAACTGGAAGGGTTGTAGGCGAGATCAGGGTGGGGAGTTCTAGTCGGCAAAGCAGAGGGGCAGGTCTGAGAACTAAACTATCTAGGGCCCATGGTCAGAACCGCCACCCCTCACTGGAAGCCAGAGCTGAGCCTGGCTGCGTACGTCCTTACTGCCAGAAAGCTCACAGGCCGGTCCTGCACTGGCAGAAACTTCTCCGAGAACATCTCATGGCAGCGGGGAGCAAACCTTCTCAGCTGGGCGGACGGACTCCTGCATGCCCTGTTCAAGCAAACTGTGCTACAAACAGCAGCCTGGGTGGCGGCTGGTGCTAACCACCTGTGCTCAAACCAACGGGGGAGGGTCAACAAGACTCAAGTGGCGTGTGTGAGCTGTGGCAATGCCCACACCTGTTTGTAACATACTAGCTCAAACAGAGATGGCATGTCTGTTAGCCCAGCCTTGCTCCCAGCTTGCAGTATGCATACCCCAAGCAGCCTTCCATGGAAGCAAACCGCAGCCATCCATGGCGGTGTTACCAGCACATGTCACACTGGGCTGTGTAACTGTGTGCCCTGTCTTCTGAAAACACAGGTCAGCATCCAGCATTGTGACCCCCTCTTCCCCCCCTCCCTCCAAGGCCCCTGCCTAGCCCGCAGCTGAGAGCCAGGGCATCTGGTTAGCATGGCTTAGAATCAGAGTACGGGTTTGTTCTTAACCTGGTAATGAGGGGCTAGCTAGCACTTGCTGCTCTGTGTAGTGCAGGCAATAGTGGATATAGAAATTTGGCCTTTGTGGGCAGGCCAATGCCCTTTGCCTTCCCAGGAGACAGGAGGCCCTGAGCTATTGGGGTACAAGAGGCTGTTCCTGCTGTCCCAGAGCCATTCCTGAACAATAGCTGCAGAGGGGGTTAGGGGTGGGAGGCTTTGTCACTGCAGCCCACAAGACACTCTAAGGCCTTTGTTTTCGGAGGCTGGGACCCAGGCTGACACAGCCCTGGAACTGTTGGCTTTGTGTCTCTTCTGGACACTGAGGCTCCGAGAGCTAAAACTCTGCACAGGGCTGTAAGGGGACCCCAAGTTGCAGCATCAACTAGCCAGAGGGCAGAGTTCTCTGGCCTTGCTCCTTCCTTGCTTTGACACACTCCTGGGTGAGGGGGCTGTGACACAGGACTTCCCCTCCTGTCTTTGCTGGGGCAATCGGCAGTGATTCTGTGTGGGAAACACAAACCTCAGGCCCGCATCCTCAGAGTCTTGAATTGACCTGTTTCACATCTGAGCCAGACCTCCCTTGACCCATGTGTTAGACGAGCTTGTCAATTAAGACAACCTGTAATGACTTGAAGCGGCTCCTGATGCCTCCTAGACAGCTTTTCCTGACGCGATTTCTGCGATGCTCCTTAATTGGAAGATGGCTTCTTAATTTCCAAGTTTAAAAAAAAAATTAGGTGTTTCAACTACAGCCGCGGCTGCTGTAAACATGTAGCAGCTGCCTGCCTGGACTTGTGTAACTGAATACTCTGTTACACAAGTGTGTGCTGGCTTAAAAAAAACAGATCCTTCAAGCTGTTCTTGTTCTCCGCATGTAATCATCAAGGACAAAAAAACACTTGGTTTGAATGTACAATGCTGCAAAAAGTCACCAGGGTCCCTACAGTGCATTGATCTTCTTCACAAGTTTTCAGTCTTTTTTCTCTTTCCTGGACATGGCCAGTTAATCAGGCATGTTGGTGTTGCTCCTGCCCATCCCTCCACGTGGAACTGGATAGAGGAGTTCTTTGGGGAGGAGGAGAAGCTGTAGCTCTTGGGTTGACAAAACTGTTCAATAAACTGATAATGTCTGAATTTGGTGCTGGACAGGGCTGGCCTTACCATAAGGAGAACTGAGGCAGCCACCTCAGGTGCCAGACTGTGCTGGGGGTGCCACTAGGACCCAGAGTGTAGAAAATTGTGTCTGCTGCTGGTGCAGATGTATTCTCTCTGCTCTAGTAGCACCGAGATGGTGGAATGCTGTACTGAAGGAAGGAGGGCACAAGAGATGTAACAGGCTGGCAGGAGAAAAGGGGCATGGGGGCGTCATTTGAGCTCCCCACCTCAAGTGCCAAAATGTTGTGGGCCGGCCCTGGTGCTGGACTCTGTCCCCACCAGGAGCTCTTTGGCTTGAGGCTAAACCTGTATCTGTACAGGACTGTGGGGCTGTCTG